CCGCTAACCCGCGCCTTGAATCGCCGATAGTGTTTCTCTAGCCACAACAGCACCTATTGAAACGAATAAAATTGCAGTAGAATTTTGGTGAAAAGACTAAAGCAAAGTTAGAAGAACAAAGTTCTAGATTTCTATTAACTTCTTGGATGATGAAAAATAACATAGAGATGGGGCCTTTATATAGGCACAAAATTATATCTAAGCCTAATCTACCTAGGGATCAAATAAAGCAATAAAATATTAAGTGTCCTAATTATAATACTAGTTGGAAACTAATTATCTTGGTGTGCACTCCAAGTCTTCCAACCGCCTCAAGCCTTCGGCCCCTCACGCGCACCGCCTTTTGCGCACCGCCTCGCACGCCCTAGTCCTTGAGGAGTAGGGCACCGCCTTCCTCCTCCGTGCGTGCACGCCCGCCCAGCGTGTCGCGCACGCCCATGCCGCTGGCCGCCTTACCGTGCGCGTGCTGCTTCGCCACTCCGCATTCCGCTAGGAGTATGGTCTCGCGCATCGCGCGTGCTCCCCCATCCAGCGTATCGTGCGCGCTTTCACCCCCGGCTGCCTCCTCGCGTGCGTGCCTTCCCACCATTCCGCACACCTCGAGGTATGAGGATGTGCGTGCTTCCTCGCCACGCGAACCTTCCGCGATCGCGCTGGCCAGCACCGCGGCCTGCGTGTCCTGCCCACTTTCGCCATGCACGCCATCCGTGCACACCGACCGCATATCCGTGCGCGGCCCATTCTCGCCTGTTAGTGCGCGTACTTCCGCCGTCAGCCGTGCTTGTCTCCTGCGTGCATGGTAGGCTCGACTTGCTGGTAATTCCTCACAGTACTTCTGCGCTTCTCCTAAACTCCTCTTGAGTTGCGAGACATGGATAACTGGGTGGATCTGAGAACTTTTTGGCAACTCTAGACGATAAGCTACCTGACCAATGCGCTTCAGAATCTGATAGGGCCCATAATAGCGAACGCCTAGTTTAGTTGCGGCTCTTTGTGCTGTTGTGCACTGTCTAAATGGTCGTAGCTTCAGGTAGACGTATTCGCCTGGTTCAAAATTTTCCTCACGCCTTTTCCCATCTGCGAAGGCTTTGGTTTGATTAATTGAGCCTTCGAGATTTTTCTTCAATTCTCGCAACATCAGATCTCGTTCCTCTAGTTCTCGACCAACCTCGGCGTTGACGGTACTCCTCTCTGAATAATTGATCAGTGTTGGGGGTTTTCGCCCATATACCAACTCGAATGGCGTCATCTTTGTCGACTCGTGGTAAGTGGTGTTGTACCAATACTCAGCCCAAGGCAAAAAGTTTTCCCACCGCTTCGGAAATTGATGGACGTAGAATCTCAAATACTGCTCAAGGGTTCGGTTGGTTACCTCAGTTTGTCCGTCTGTATGTGGGTGGTAGGCTGAGCTCATAGACAACTTAGTCCCTTGCAACTTGAAGAGCTCAGACCAAAAGCTGCTCATAAAAATCCGGTCTCGATCAGAGACGATGGATCGTGGTGCTCCATGCAGTGAGCATACTTTGTGAGACGATCCACAACGACCATAACACCGTCAAATCCATTGGAACTCGGTAACCCCTCTATGAAATCCATAGTAATGTCTTCCCAGATTGCCTCGGGTACTGGTAGAGGTTGTAACAGCCCGCTCGGCTGTCGTGAGTCAGACTTAGTGCACTGGCAATCGTCGCATCGTGCTATGTAATCTCGGACGATATTCTGTTGTCCGGGCCAGAAGAAAGTGTTGGTTGTTCTCATCCACGTGCGATAGACACCCGAGTGGCCTCCAATTTTAGAGTTGTGGAAGTGTTGCATGATCTGCTCACGTAACTGCCCACTGTCGGGAACGAATACTCGGCCCCGGTGTAGAAGCAGACCATTATGCAACTCGTAGTCGATAGCAGTTGTCTTACCTGCTTCTATCGATTGGCGCAGCTCCTGGCAATAAGTGTCCTCTACTTGCGCCTTCCTGATTTCCTCCCAAACCGTCCAAGCTGGCCCAGTAATAGCATTCAGCTCGGCTACATTATCTCGACGAAGATAATGCGTCAGCTACTGCATTCTGCTGACCCGGTCGATAGATTATCTCGAAGTCAAACCCCATAAGTTTAGATACGAACTTCTGCTGCTCAGGGGTAACAATCCTTTGATCCAGTAGATGCTTAAGCGGTTGCTGGTCGGTCACAATCTGAAAACATCGGCCCAATAGATAAGGCCTCCAGCACCTTACAGCCTCGATAACTGCTAGCATCTCCTTCACGTACACCGATAGCCCCAACCGTGTAGTGCCTAGTGCCTTGCTGAGATAAGCTAAGGGTCGTCCCTCTTGCACTAACACAGCTCCAATCCCAGTGTCACTCGCATCGGTGTGTACCTCGAACAAGACATCAAACCTGGGCATGGCGAGCACTGGCGTTGTAGTCATGGCTTCTTTTAGTTTCCCAAACGCCTCCTTGCTAGCTTCGGTCCATGTGAACCCGCCTTTCTTAGTCATCTCTGTCAATGGCTTGGCGATGGTTCCATAATCCTTCACGAACTTTCTGTAGCAGCCCGTGAGTCCTAGAAATCACCTCAGCTGTGTGAGACTTGTCGGTTTTGGCCAATCGATCATAGCCTCAATCTTTCGTGGATCAACCTTCACGCCCTCGTGGGATATGAAGTGCCCCTGATACTCAACCATCTTCTGCCCGAATGAACATTTGGATGGCTTGATGTTGAATGAGTTGGCCTCCAAAATTTCGAGCACTACTCTCAAATGCCCAAGATGTTCACCCCACGACTTCGAATAGATCAGGATATCATCAAAGAATACCAGAACGAACTTACACAGATACTCCTTGAAGATAGAATTCATAGCAAACTGGAAAGTGGATGGGGCGTTGCACAATCCGAATGGCATGACCAGATACTCATAGTGCCCCTGGTGCGTACGAAATGCTGTCTTTGGAATGTCGGCTCTGTGGAGTCGAATCTGATGGTAACCAGCTCTCAGGTCAAGTTTTGAGAAATAGCGTGACCCAGCTAACTCATCGAGCATGTCGTCAACGCTAGGGATAGGAAATCGGTCCTTGATAGTTGCAGCGTTCAGAGCTCGGCAGTCAGTACAGAACCTCCACGTGCCGTCTTTCTTTTTGTCTAGCAAGACTGGGGAAGAAAACGGACTCTTGCTATGCTGGATTAGTCCTGACTTAAGCATCTCGACCACTTTCCGTTCGATCTCGGTTTTCTGAAAGTGAGCGTACCTATAAAGATGAACGTGTATGGCATGCTGCTCATTGATCAGTGGTATGCGATGATCGAACTCCCGGTGTGGGGGTAGCCCTTTAGGTTCGCCCAGTACTCCCTCAAATTCCTTGAGAAGCTCGCACACATCTCCCTGTTGTTGTTCCTCTTGGTCTATGTGCGCCTCAGTTCTCTCTACTACTACTGCAAATATTTGGCCTCTGCCCCGCCAAACTTTTTCAATGCTCTTAAGTCCTACTTCCTTGGTACCTTTTTCATTTCCAGTACTCAGAGTGACTTGCTGATCTCCGGAGTTGAACTCCATAATTCCTGTTCGATAGTTGATGGTCACCTTGCCTATCCCTTCAAGTCAATGTACTCCTAGGACGACATCCGGCCCAACCAGAGGTAAGGCATAGAGATCAACCTTCACTGTAACTCCGCTGAACCTGATTGGCACCTTCCGGAAGGATTTAGTGCATTGTAGTCTCTCACCATTGGCTACTCGTACCTCAAAAGGCTCAGTCTTTGTGGTTGGTAAGTTCAGCTTCTGGGACAAGTCGGCATTGATGAAGTTGTGTGATGACCCGTTGTCCACGAGCACCACCACCTTCCAATCCTTGACCCAGACCAGCAATCACATCGTTCGAGGCCCTCTAATCCCGGCCATTGCGTGCATCGAGATTTCTGCTTTTTCGTCGGGCCACTCAACTTCAATATCCTGATGTGGTTCCTCCTCGACCTCAGATCCTTCCTCATCAGGATTAGCAACTTCGATCACAAAAGCTTGCTTACACTGATGACCTGGTGTAAATTTCTCCTCACACTTGAAACATAAGCCTTCCTCTCATTGACGTTTAACTTCCTCGGGAGACAGCCGCCTTACTATCGACCCCGCCGGTCGATTGCTGACGTTTGGCCGTGCGCTGGCCATTGCCTGGTTCGGTCCCGTGCGTCGTGTGTCCGTGAATCGCACATCCGCCCGTCCCCTTCGCGTAGCGACTAGATGGTCTTTTCGCCGTCGTGCTACCTCCATGGTGTTATGCATCGTGTCTGGTCGCTCCAGTTGGACTTCTACGGCTAGATCGAATCTCAGCCCACCTATGAAGGCTCCTACTAGCGCATCCTCAGACCAATCTCGTATGCGACAGGCTATTCG